ATAATATGCTACAGAACTGTGTATAATAATTAGGAAAGGCCATAAAGATGGTTTTTCCAAGAAGTTTTACAGTAGGTATAGTAGCCACGTGGTATTGTAGGAAAAATAACTATGCAAAGCATGGGAAGCTTTTGTAGAGCAAACCAAGTAATACATAATTTTGTACCCAAAACTAACAAACCTGACTTGTAGCCTGTATAAAAGAGTATTTTGTTAAGAAAAGCTATAATGCCTTTTAATTTTTGTCTCCCTAAAGAAGTTTACTGCTTTTCTGGTTACTCGGTTGATTAATCATGTTAACACTTCCACAAGCTTGTGTGGCATCTCTAGATGCGGAGAAAGACGAAATTGAGTTAATACTTGGGATATTTTTTGGTGCAGTTAAGTCAGGAAAAAATATATGACCTGAAGCAGATTATTATATTCCCCAGGCGCAAAAAGAAAAAACAATGCGATATCTAATGGTATACTTGAAAGGTTCCTTCCAAAGGTTGTTTAAAACACTGATAATTCTGCGCGGGGGTTCCATCACGTTGACATAATCCCTTCTTCACTTACTTTGAATGTCCGTAAAGATCGTGCATGTCCAGGGAAAGGTAAAAATGTAGGAACCAGGCATCCTTTTCTCCCACAGCAGACTATGCAAACACAGTTACAGGGATGAACCAGCTATAGATTGCATATGTTCTATTTATGTTCTTTTGGTAGAGCACTGTATTAGTTTAACAGTGCACATAACATACTATAGGTAAGTATCAGTCTTAATAGATTTTGTGGTAAATAGTATCGCTCTTGCTCAGGCTGGTTTCGAACTCCTGACCTCGAGCAATCCTCCCGCCTCGGCCTCCCAGAGTGCTAGGATTACAGGCATGAGCCACCGCCGCCCGGCCTCCCTTTGATTTTCCTTTGTTGCACCTACCTTCCCAAGTTTCCAGAAGTAACAATTACTTGGAAAATAGCAGATGACACAGGAGATAAAGGGATTCTGTTCTGGCTGTGATACTACTGCTTTAGCTGGAACTGTGGAGTCAGACTGACTGCCCCAACTTCTCCTTAAAACTTGTCATTTTCTTAAAGAAATCCAAGCACTGTAGACCATTTCTAATTTTTATGACAGTGCCTTCCCTGTACTAAGGACTGTGTATGAAGAGACAGAAAATGTCAGTTAGGCTCTTTGATCACTGCTAAGCCTTCCACTTGTCACCCACACAAAAAAATAATTCCACGTAGGAAGACAGGTGGCATTCTAAACTGTGAGTCTACTTTTTATAATATCTGTACAAGAAAGATGCTTCTATAGTTCTCTGACATTGTCACAAGAGTAATGTAATTAGCAAAACAGCAAGCCATTTAGCTCAGAGAAACACTGAAACTTATCAGGGAATGAAGCTGAGGTCAGGAGTTCGAAACCAGCCTGAGCAAGAGCAAGACCCTGTCTCTACTATAAATAGAAAGAAATTAATTGGCAACTAAATATATAGAAATTAGCGGCATGGTGGCCATGCCTGTAGTCCCAGCTACTGGGAGGGCTGAGGCAGAAGGATTGCTTGAGCCCAGGAGTTTGAGGTTGCTGTGAGCTAGGCTGACGCCATGGCACTCACTCTAGCCTGGTCAACAAGCGAGACTCTGTCTCAAAAAAAAAAAGAATATTTTTCTGTAAATTAGGCCAAGATTTCCAGATCTGTTTGTCACGAATTTGAGAGGTGTACCCAATTGATAAAGGTGATGCAAAAAAAATCTTTTTTACTAATTTTTTTTCTCCTATAAGATCCCAAGGTTAAAAAAAAAAAGATCCCAATCTTGATGCTAGAAATATGTCATCACCATTGCTCAAAATAAGACCTAAAAATTTTGTTTTGATTTTTAGAAAGGCATTGAAGGGGTGAACTATGATGAATGACTTCATCCCAAAGAGCAACTAGGGTAAACCAAATGCTTTTAGAAAAAGCAGTTAGATTTCAAAGAAAATTAATTGTTCCTTCTGCCGTAGGAAGTTAAATCTGTATTTTTAAAGTAAGCATATATATTAATATATAAATTGCCTTTAGAAATATGTCACTCTTTCACTATCTCCACTCAGTGAATGATACCAGTATGTCTCTCAGTGAGGACTTCCTTTGCTGATTCTTCATCAGACTGGAATTCCTGCTGGGAAGTTGGCTGAAACTCAGGAAATGCAGTCACCACTGAAATACACAAGAAATCAGAGTTTTCAAAGCTGTAAGGAGCTTAATAAGCAACCCAATTGGTATTAATTTAAGTATTTCTCTACCTTATCAACCTACCTGTAAGCCTCAAATTTCTTAAAAAAAAAAGTAGAATTCATATTACATTTACCAACTTTGAAAATTATTGATTTCTTGTGGTTGAGATACTTTATATGGTGAGCTGCATTTTTCAGGCCTTAAACCTAATAATCATATTGTCAAGATAATGGCCTTTTTACCTAGACTGTCTTCCTATGTATGTTATGTGCATGTTAACTATATTTCTAAAAGAACATAAATAAATATGCATATATACATGTTCATCCTGTACATGTGTTTATATCTGCTGTGGGAGAAAAAGGATGCCTGTTCTAATTTTACTTTCCTGGACATAAGATTTTAGACATTAAGTTAAGAGAAGGGATAGAAGTAGATGGAATTTAAAGCAGAATTATCAGTGTTTTAAACTTGAAGGAACTTTCAAGTATACCATAGATATCCATTTTTTTTGCTGTGAATATAATATCTGCTTAAGGTATATATTTTTTACTGGCAAAAAAAATATCCCAAGTATTAATCATTTGTCTTTCTCCATCTAGAGATGCAAAACTTGTGGAAGTTTAACATGATTATCAAGTAAGGAACAGTAAATTTTAAGAAAAATTAAAAGGCATTAATACTTTTTTAAAATCTCTTTATACAGCTAAGTCAAGGTTGTTAGTTTTGGGTAAAAATTATGTATTACTTGGTTTGCTCTAAAAGCTTCATGCTTTGCATAGTTATTTTTCTAATACATGGTAACTATATACTTAAAACTTTTGGAAAACATCTTTATGCCTTTCCTAATTATTATACAAGTTCTGTACATATTATAGAAAAATTAGAGAAATAAATATGCATAGATTTTTTTGATTACTCTAAATCCTACCCCTCAGAGAAAACCACTGTTGAGATTTTGGTATAATGTATCTTTATAGCCTTATTTTTGATTAGGGTGTTGTGTGTGTGTGGTACGTGTACTATCTTTTATATTGTTCATTTATTTCTGTAAATTCTTTAGTGAAATTTTGAGTCAGCTCCTCTGAATTTTGGAAAGCTGTTTCTTGGATTTTTTTTTTTTTTTTTTTTGGACAGAGTCTCGTTTTGTTGCCCAGGCTAGAGTGAGTGCCATGGCGTCAGCCTAGCTCACATCAACTCAAACTCCTGGGCTCAAGCATCCTCCTGCCTCACCTTCCAAGTAGCTGGAACTACAGGCATGCGCCACGCATGCCCAGCTAATTTTTCTATATATATAATTAATTAGTTGGCCAATTAATTTCTTTCTAATTTTATAGTAGGACGGGTCGTTTTAATCTCAGCTTCTCTGGTACTAACCGTGTAACCTTGTACAAATTACTTCTCTGAATCTGATTCCTCATTTGTAAAATAACAGTGATAATGACTACCTCACATGACAGTTAAAAATCTAATATCTTGGCTGGGCACAGTGGCTTGTGCCTATAACCCCAGCACTTTGGAGGCCAAGGCAGGAGGATCAGTTGAAGCCAGGAGTTCAAGACCAGTCTAGGCAACATAGAGAAACCCTGTCCCTACAAAAATTTTTTTAAAAATTAGCTAGGCATGGTGGAATACACCTAAAGTGCTCTTGAGCTACTCAAGAGGCTAAGGCTCAAGAAGTGCAAGGTTTCAGCCTGGGTGATAGTGCGAGACCCTATCTGAAAAAAACAAAACAAAACTAATACCTTAATTTGGCAGACAAAGCCTTACCTTTGGTCTGATCCTTACTTTCCTAATCTTTTCATCTCCCTCCAGCAGCGCTAACCTGTTAGCAGAGTAGACTGTTTTTTGCACTGGTACACTCTTGTGAGTTCTTATTCTGTACCTCCTCCTGCATCTTGTCCACAGTCACATATATGTGCACATATGCATGCGCACACGCAGTGTTTTCTGTAATCTCATTCCTTCCCCCCTACTTCTGTGGCCCCACATAACACCTTTTGTATGCTTCTCTGCGTTCCCCAGAACACTTTGTGCCTGTTTTTGTTATTGCACCCATCTTAAACATTGTAATAGTCTTTGCATTCTTAAAAAGTTTGTATATGAATCCACCACTGCATTCACTATGTAGTATTGTAATGCTCTGTTTTGTCTCGCCTCCACTAGACTGCATTCTTTGAGGACAAAAGCAAACAGTTTTGTCATTCTTGTGTCTTTCTTAGCACCTGTTCCAATCATGTGCTCAATAAATTTTTATTTGAAGTAATGCTAATAATAGTAACACTTGTCATGCACCAACTATGATTAAGCACTTTTCCATACATTATTTAACTGGCTCTGTCATTCCAAGATTAATGAGAGAGCATGTATGTATTTTTTTCATACTTAACATATTCTCAATAAAAATGTTAATTATCTTTTCCTGAATTTTAGGACACAGCCTCTACCTCTGAAATCCTTCCAGACCTCTCCCCTGCTTCTGTTTGCTCCCTTCCTTTTATTTTCATAGTTCCTTCTTTATATTAATTAATACCTTTATTTTATGTGTGTGTGTGTATATATAATAGCCGACAAAAATCTCTAAGGGTCAAGATAACCTCATTTCTGTTTTTCCAGAGCCCAGTACAGGCTCTGGCATAGAGAAAGTGCTACATAAATATTAAAGGAGAGAATGAGAGAAATACTAACTTGCATTTTTCTAAAGCATCCAAATTGCTGGAGGTAGATAAATGTATTCCTACCATGAAGAATTTCTAGATCTCTTGTTCCATTCCATCCTCTTTATTCTTCATTCAGGATGCATGTCGTGTTCACAGCGAAGGTACTCCCTCCAGCCTGTGCCAGAGAGGAAGATTCCAACCCGATACCTAGGCCAACCCAGCCCCTTTACACACCCACACCTTCTCAGACCAGGTAAGTCCTTTTAACTGGAATAACAATGCTGTTCAAGAGAATTTTTTACAAAGTAATGGAAATATTTTAGGTCTATGCTATTGAGTAAGGTAACCACTAGCCTCATATGGCTGTTGTATACTTATAATGTTGCTAATGCAACTAAGCAGATGAATGTTTTTACTTTATTTAATTTTAATTAATTTAAACTTAAAAGGCCAGGCGTGGTGGCTCACGCCTATAACCCTAGTACTCTGGGAGAGCGAGGCAGGAGGATCGCTTGAAGTCTGGAGTTCAAGACCAGCCTCAGCAAAAGCAAGACCCCATCTCTACTAAAAATAGAAAGAAATTATCTAGACAGCTAAAAATAGTAGGAGCAAAAATTAGCCAGGCATGGGGGTGCATACCTGTAGTCCCAGCTACTCTGGAGATTGAGTCAGGAGGGTCGTTTGAGGTTGCTGTGAGCTAGGCTTACGCCATGGCACTCTAGCCAGGACATGAGAGCGAGGCTCTGTCATTCATTCATAAATAAATACATATATATATACATATACACATACATACAAACTTAAATAGCTATGGTGTGGCTACTGGTACTGTATTGACAGTACTACTCTAGAACAATAAATATGATAAATTTTGTAATTTAAAATAATTAGTAAAGTATTTCAGGATTTTTTTTAAAAAGTTCTATTTCTAAGTCATAGTTTCTCTAACTATATACTAACTATTGTGAATTACTGTGTTACACACATTTTAAAAAACATGTTTTTCTTCATAGCATTAAATGTTCTTTCAAAATTTAGTTTAACAAGAATATTTTTCTGCCGTGCGCGGTGGCTCACGCCTGTAATCCTAGCACTCTGGGAGGCCGAGGCGGGCGGATTGCTTGAGGTCAGGAGTTCGAAACCAGCCTGAGCAAGAGCAAGACCCCGTCTCTACTATAAATAGAAAGAAATTAATTGGCCAACTAATATATATAGAAAATTAGCTGGGCATGGTGGCCCATGCCTGTAGTCCCAGCTACTCGGGAGGCTGAGGCAGAAGGATTGCTTGAGCCCAGGAGTCTGAGGTTGCTGTGAGCTAGGCTGACGCCATGGCACTCACTCTAGCCTGGTCAACAAGCGAGACTCTGTCTCAAAAAAAAAAAAGAATATTTTTCTGTAAATTAGGCCAAGATTTCCAGATCTGTTTGTCACGAATTTGAGAGGTGGTACCCCAATTGATAAAGGTGATGCAAAAAAAAATCTTTTTTACTAATTTTTTTTTCTCCTATAAGATCCCAAGGTTAAAAAAAAAAAAAGATCCCAATCTTGATGCTAGAAATATGTCATCACCATTGCTCAAAATAAGACCTAAAAATATTTTTGTTTTGATTTTTAGAAAGGCATTGAAGGGGTGAACTATGATGAATGACTATCATCCCAAAGAGCAACTAGGGTAAACCAAATGCTTTTAGAAAAAGCAGTTAGATTTTCAAAGAAAATTAATTGTTCCTTCTGCCATAGGAAGTTAAATCTGTATTTTTAAAGTAAGCATATATATTAATAATATAAATTGCCTTTAGAAATATGTCACTCTTTCACTATCTCCACTCAGTGAATGATACCAGTATGTCTCTCAGTGAGGACTTCCTTTTGCTGATTCTTCATCAGACTGGAATTCCTGCTGGGAAGTTGGCTGAAACTCAGGAAATGCAGCTCACCACTGAAATACACAAGAAATCAGAGTTTTTCAAAGCTGTAAGGTAAGCTTAATAAAGCAACCCAATTGGTATTAATTTAAGTATTTCTCTACCTTATCAACCTACCTGTAGCCTCAATTTCTTAAAAAAAAAAAAGTAGAATTCATATTACATTTACCAACTTTGAAAATTATTGATTTCTTGTGGTGAGATACTTTTATATGGTGAGCTGCATTTTCAGGCCTTAAACCTAATAATCATATTGTCAAGATAATGGCCTTTTTACCTAGACTGTCTTCCTATGTATGTTATGTGCATGTTAACTATATTTCTAAAAGAACATAAATAAATATGCATATATACATGTTCATCCCTGTACATGTGTTTATATCTGCTGTGGGAGAAAAAGGATGCCTGTTCTAATTTTACTTTCCTGGACATAAGATTTTAGACATTTAAGTAAGTGAGAAGGGATAGAAGTAGATGGAATTTTAAAGCAGAATTATCAGTGTTTTAAACTTTGAAGGAACTTTCAAGTATACCATTAGATATCCATTTTTTTTTTTTTGCCTGTGAATATAATATCTGCTTAAGGTATATATTTTTTACTGGCAAAAAAATATCCCAAGTATTAATCATTTGTCTTTCTCCATCTAGAGATGCAAAACTTGTGGAAGTGTTAACATGATTATCAAGTAAGGAACAGTAAATTTTTAAGAAAAATTAAAAGGCATTAATACTTTTTTAAAAATCTCTTTTATACAGCTAAAGTCAGGTTGTTAGTTTTGGGTACAAAATTATGTATTACTTGGTTTGCTCTAAAAAGCTTCATGCTTTGCATAGTTATTTTTCTAATACATGGTACTATATACTTAAAACTTTTGGAAAACATCTTTATGCCTTTCCTAATTATTATACAAGTTCTGTACATATTATAGAAAAATTAGAGAAATATAAATATGCATAGATTTTTTTTTGATTACTCATAATCCTACCCCTCAGAGAAAACCACTGTTGAGATTTTGGTATATGTATCTTTATAGCCTTATTTTTGATATAGGGGTGTGTGTGTGTGTGTACGTGTACATACTCTTTGTATATTGTTCATTTATTTCTGTAAATTCTTGGTAGTGAAATTTCTAGGTCAGCTCCTCTGAATTTTTGGAAGCTGTTTCTCTTGGTTTTTTTTTTTTTTTTTTTTTGTGACAGTCTCGTTTTGTTGCCCAGGCTAGAATGTGAGTGCCATGGCGGTCAGCGCTAGCTCACATCAATCTCAAACTCCTGGGCCTCAAGCAATCCTCCTGCCTCAGCCTTCCAAGTAGCTGGAACTACAGGCATGCGCCACCATGCCCAGCTAATTTTTTCTATATATATATATATATATTAGTTGGCCAATTAATTTCTTTCTAATTTTATAGTAGAGACGGGGTCTCGCTCTTCGCTCAGGCTGGTTTCGAACTCCTGACCTCCGAGCAATCCTCCCCCTCGCCTCCCAGAGTTGCTAGGATTACAGGCATGAGCCACCGCCGCCCGGCTCCCTTTTGATTTTTCCTTCTTGTTGCACCTACCTTCCCAAGTTTCCAGAAGTAACAATTACTTGGAAAATAGCAGATGACACAGGAGATAAAGGGATTCTGTTCTGGCTGTGATACTACTGCTTTTAGCTGAACTGTGGAGTCAGACTGACTGCCCCAACTTCTCCTTAAAACTTGTCATTTTCTTAAAGAAATCCAAGCACTGTAGACCATTTCTAATTTTTATGACAGTGCCTTCCCTGTACTAAGGACTGTGTATGAAGAGACAGAAAATGTCAGTTAGGCTCTTTGATCACTGCTAAGCCTTCCACTTGTCACCCACACAAAAAAATAATTCCACGTAGGAAGACAGGTGGCATTCTAAACTGTGAGTCTACTTTTTATAATATCTGTACAAGAAAGATGCTTCTATAGTTCTCTGACATTGTCACCAAGAGTAATGTAATTAGCAAAACAGCAAGCCATTTAGCTCAGAGAAACACTGAAACTTATCAGGGAATGAATGGGAAGAATTACTAGAATGCCTAATAAGCATTATTTCCAAAAACCTACATTTCTAACATTTTTACTTTCCTAGGCACCATTACAATAGTTTTGGAATGTGTGGTATAGTTTGGAGTGCTACCCTTAAAAGGGTGACTCAGGCAGGTGACTCAGGCAGGTATAATTCCAGGACCTTTGAAGGCCAAGGCAGGAGGCTAGCTGGAGGCCAGGAATTTAGACCAGCCTTGACAATATAGCAAGACTCTGTCTCTACAAAAATTTTTTTAAAAAATTAGTCTGGCGTGGTGGCACACACCTATAGTCATAGCTAATCAAGAGGCTTAGGCAGGAAGATCACTGAGCCCAGGAGTTGAAGGTTACAGTGAGCTATAATCATGCCACTGCCCTCCAGCCTGAGCAAGACCCTGTCTCTTTAAAAAAAAAGAAAGAAAATTTAAGACAGTTTTTTAAGTATAATGTTTAAAATGATGAAAAGATTGGTTCTAGAGTAGGTTATAGATAATAATTCCTAAATCTTTTTCCCTTAAAAGTTTCAAAATCACTTAGATGCCCTTCTTTCAGTGATAATTTAATTGTAGTTCTCTTGAGCAAGGGATATATTTTAAAAACTTGTTAAATATGGTTGATTTTGATAGTATGTAAAATATAAAGATATATTTTTGAGACAGAGTCTCACTTTGTTGCCCAGGGTAGAGTGAGTGCCATGGCGTCAGCCTAGCTCACAGCAACCTCAAACTCCTGGCTCAAGCATCCTCCTGCTAGCCTCCCAAGTAGCTGGGACTACAGGCATGTGCCACCATGCCCAGCTAATTTTTTCTATATATATTAGTTGGCCAATTAATTTCTTTCTATTTATAATAGGGACGGGTCTCTCTCTTGTTCAGGCTGGTTTCGAACTCCTGAACTCCTGACCTCGAGCAATCCGTCCACCTCTGCCTCCCGGAGTGCTAGGATTACAGGCATGAGCCACCACGCCCGGCCTATACTGTTTAAAAGATTAAAATGAGGCGACTTCTGGGGCCCCCCTCTCTTGGGGCCCCAGAACCTCATCCACAAATTAATTAAATAAATAAATAAATAAATAAATAAATAAATAAATAAATAAATAAATAAATAATAAATAATAAATAAATAAAAGATTAAAATGTATGTCCAAGAAATTACAGAAATTAAAAGTGGTTTGAATGGGTGAGCGATTTCAAAATATACACAAATGGGCGGGGCGCGGTGGCTTCACCTATAATCCGAGAACTCTGGGAGACCCAGATGGGAGGATCGCTCAAGGTCAGGAGTTTGAA